GCCACTAATGGCAGCCCAACTCCAGGTCAAGCTGTTGTTCACCATCTTAGCTGTAGAGGGCGCAGTGTCACTGGCCCTAATGTGGGACCCGAACCGGTGGCTCTGCTGCTCAAAGCTCGTGCTCCCAAGCCAACTCTTAACCAACGAGCCACTCAGCCGGCCTATCACTGCAATATTTTTTACAATAGCCAAGATATGGAAACAACCTAAGTGTCTATAAAGGGATGAATGGATAAAGATGTGGTGCATATACAGTGGTATATCATTCAGCCATGAGAGAGAAGGAAATCCTTCCATTTGCAACAACAGGGATGGACCTTGAGGGCGTTATGCTAAGTGAAAGAAGCCAGAGAAAGACAAGTACTCCATGGTATCACTTATATGTGGAATTTAAAAGTTTAAAAAAAAAAAGTCAAACTCATAGAAACATAGTAGAAAAGTGATTGCCAGGGTCTGGGAGTAGAGGAAATAGGAAGAGGTTGATTAAAAAACAAAAACAAAAAGTAAAACAGAGCCCATCCTTTTAATCAAGTAAATGTGCATCTAATATCATAATGGTTCTATTTTTCTTTAATTAAGCCTCATTCTCCCATGCAAAGCACTGTCTCCCTAAGTCACTTGTATGTGGCATTCAACTTTCCTTCCCAGGATGTAGTGACCCTTTTTGGTAAGATAAAGGATATAGTTCAACTTCTTTTACAGTGGCTCATATCACCTAAACACCTTGCAAAGCGGACATTCTATACACAGAAGATCAGATGGACTTTTAATGATCGCCGTGACATAGAGGTGTCTTGCTTTAACAGGGACCTAGACATTTTCAGGTCAACCGGAAGTTGGTTTGAACTAGGAGAGTAAGTGTATTCTTTCACTCATTTCACATTCAGATTGACAATTGTTATCTCAAGTTCAAAAAGAGAGAATTTTGCTGGTTAAAGTAATAGTAAGGAAATAATCTACATTTTAACTTTCATGTTGCATACTTCTTATTTTTACAGTGTATTTATATATTTCTTAATGAACATACACTTTGGAGGATATGAGCAGTTCACCAAGTTTAAAATTAAGTTAGATTGTCTAATGTGGTTTTTAAAATAGCAGATTTTAAAAACTGAACATTCTGTAGTTTATATTAATTTCCCCTGAGACTTATGTTGCTTTTAAACTTTATTTTCAATTTAGACATTTATGTGAACAATATGTTTTCAGTGTTTACCACAATAAAGTGGTCTTTAATTCAAAACATCTTTTTCCTCAAAAAGTACAATTATTCCTGAAGAAAGAACTCAGATGAAAATTGTTTTATGAGATATTATTACTGATTTCAACCATTTATTTTATGGTATAATTAATTTCTGCATATGTTCAAACACTGAATCAGGAAACAGTGAATGAACATAAGACCTACTATCTTCAGAAGAAAAACGGATTTACGTGTTTTCTACCAAAATAAATCTCCATAATACTTTGTTTTCAAATTCATTACGAGACATGCAAATGAGATTATAAGTATTTATTAATTGTAGATAACCTAATATAACACCTTATTATACAAAATAAAAAATGAAACTGCTGTGAAATTTGAATGCAAAATTTATTGTTTTGCTGTCACCTAGTGGTAGTAAAGTATAAGATATAAATGCTAGAAAGTGAATTAATATTTTCATTTTCTATGCAAATTGTGGCATTGGCCTTACAAATATAAACAGCAGGCTATGTTCAAATATAAATATTAAATATTATAGTGATTTTTCTACTCTGACAAACTTAAATTGACTATTATTCTTCAAGGCGTATTGTACATTATCAAATAGCAAAAGTTATCATTCTTAAATAAAACCAAACAAGTCTTTTAGACAAAGTATTTAAGAAATAAGCACCATTTCAAATAACATGTTTTTGCCCAAGGGATGTTAATTATTATAGCTTTGTAATTTTGTAGGCTGTTTTGGTACACACTCAATAAAAACTAACAAATGTCATTTATCACCTTATCCTAGAAATTTTGCCTATGGCTGTTTCAACTATTTTAGACAGATGACGCTTGAGATTTTCACAATGTCACCCAGCCTGAAGAACATATTGGATCAGAGCCCAGAAATTTCGAAGATTCAAAATACAGAATTATATTAAATACTCTGCCTTCTAATATACTATATATTTGGTGGGAATAATCACAAAGAAAAAAAAATAACCTAGGAATATTCTCTGAGCTGTATAAAGTGGGAGGGGAAATCTAGTATATTTCCTATTCATACTTAAGAAGACATTAGGGGAAGATATATTACAGTTTAGTATATGACAATAGAGACATTTCAGATAAGTAGAAAAGAATTATTTTAAATAAATGTTATAAGAAAATTGCTTAAGCTTTAAAAAATAAATTTAAATCCCTATTTCACATACTAGCCTAAAACAATTTTCAATGAGGTAAAAATTTAAATACATCAGGCATTGGAAACTTGGTGGCATGAGGGGTCCCCCTTGATTTCTCCCATTGAAGTTACAACAAGCTGAACTGCTATAATTTCACAAAGGACTCCTTGTGCAACACACAAACACATCTGAAAAACCCACACTTCAAAACATCTGAAGGTGGGGGAATAGGGTGAACAGGAGAAGAGAGAAGGGAGAAGTGCCGAGACAGGCTGGGGGCACAGATGCAGCCTAGAGCTCACTGCAGTCCTGGAGAGGGGAGGTTTCAGCTTACAGGTGTACTCTGAGGCCCCAAGCATTCCTGCCTGAGTAATCAGCATATAATATGGCTGAATCCAGCAATGGGGTGGGAGGCAGAAGCCTCGGGGCAAAGACCCGAATACAGAAGGGTGAGCACTGACGTCTAACAGCCCTCACTGCCAGGCAGAATATAAAGCCTTAGGGCCTGGCCACCTCCCCGCACCCTCCCAGCGTTAGCAGTAGGCCCCAGAAGAAACTATAGCAGTGTCAGGTTAAAGAACAGAATATCCACAGTCCTGAGAACTGGAGAGACAGTTCCTGAACGACAGACACACACTGTGACAAGGGAGGAGATATAGTGGTGAGGCAACTGTGGTCTGGCTATCGCCATTATTTAGAGAACAAAAACACAAACACACCAGCAGCCTCTTCC